GCAAGCGTTACGCATAAAATCTGAAAAATAATGCATCAGACAAAAGAGAGCACCATTGTACTTAGTGTAGCCTGCTAGCAGCTTTCTCTAGTAGGGAAGAAGCAGGAGCAAGTGAGGCTGTTGTGAGATAAGCCAGGTGGTAGCTCCTCCTGAAAAGTCACCTGCCTCAACACAAGAGGCTATCTTCTACTGAACTACATGTAGGTGCACATGTTTATAATCAAGTTTTTACTTGTCTGCACAATATGCCTTTAACTCAAAATGACTATTGCAGGATAAAATAAATGGTAACTCACTTGTAACCTTTTTTTTTTGGATAAGAGTGTCTGAATAGCGACCAAAATGCAATTTCAGGAAACCAGCATGAGCAAAGTTACACTGCAAAAAAAGGAATTGATACATGAAATTTGTTTATATCATCTTATTCTTATCAAGCATCATGCACTGAGAACTGTCAACAAGTATTCAAATATATTTATATAAGATGATAAAATCATTATATCAATAATATTACAATGCAGTTAAATGAAATTTAATGCAGTTAAAAAATACGCTTTTGTTGGTCAAACAGTAAGTTTTGGTGGTGCAGGCATGGTCACAGTCTTGCATTTAACCTCCCTCCCCTTCACTGATCAGTCAGCCATGGGGGTGTAACTCTATTTAGAGCTGGCTGTACCAAAAGTGGTGGTCTCTGGACATCCTAGCACCTGTAAACCTTCACTGACCAATGTGGTTTGTTAAATCAGGTTATCACTGTTATTGTATTTTTTCTAAATAATTAATATTATTCAAAATAAAAAAAAAAATACTATTATTATTTATCACATGCATTAATTTATGATGGTCATGATCATTGATATCATCATCATCATTAACTGTCATCCCTACATTCAGCACCATCATCAAGGCATTAAAGGTTACCTTCATATAAATTAAGCAAGTTCCTTTACACCAACTGTGGCATCCATGTTGTACAGTTCATAGAATTTGCCAACCTGGACGCTAAATACATGATATTAACATAGAATAGATACTTTTTTTGATAACATTTAATTCTCAAAATTACAAAAAGTGGCAGTGGAGTGCCAGATGCTTTAGGTCATAATATTAATCAAAACCAAACTGTTTAAAGAAAAGGTCTAAAGCTCAATAGGAACTGTTTGAGGGTGTGGCAGCGGCAGGGGGCTGTTCTCAACCCTATTTCCCCAGGTCAATACAACAATGTAACTCAAAACATTAAAACTAGATCTAGGATTGTGTTCAGTTGCACTTTTCTGTGTTTACAAACCTTAAAGAATAGGATTGTATCAAAGTTCTCACTCTTCAACTGCCACCATTGTTTCATTGCCTGAAAAAGTAACACAATCATAATTAAAACAATGTATCAAAAAACAGAAAAAAGAGTTCTGCAGTTACTTATACCCAGTTATTATTCCACAAGTTAAAATATGCAAAGTAAAGTAAAGCCAATTAGACTTACTGGTGTGGCATCTTGGAAGATAAAAAATGATGGAGGAACCTAATAAAAAGAGGAAAAAGCCAACAGTATTAATTGGGTGCTGTGACTATAATTTATACAACTTAAAAATAACTACACATAAACAAAGGATCTTTTGTTGAATAACTTGATGACTGCAAATTTGTTTGAGGGTCAATTTTCTCCTTGGTTGAATTAATTATTTCATAATCCTTGGTTCCAAACACATTACATTAAAGTAAAATACATGTATCTTAAAACAGAGAACAAACAGGGTGCAAAGAATGTCAGTTCTCAAGCTTGCCATTTGGGCAAGCTCCAGCTATCATCAGGTTCTAGCCTGGGGGCCTTTTAACTAGCTTGGAAAAATTTTTGATGAGCCGGACTGATTATAGATCTTCTGCAATGTTAATTACTCGTACTCACTTGCCCATCAAGCAAGTTCAGAACAGAATTCACTAGGTTGATGGTAAAATGCAGTAGCCCTAGGCTATCGGACATGACTTTCTTTTTACACACTGAACAAAATATTTATACCAAGATACTAGAAATACGTTTTTTGCAAAAATCTCACAAAAGCTGACAAGGTCAGCAGTGAGAATAAACAGTAACAAGCCAAAGGGTAAAAAATATGATGAAAGAAAAAAAAAAGAAACTGGAAGTAGCCACGCACGAATTTAAACCTACACCCAACTTCCTCCAGCAAAAAAAGTGCGCTGTCTGACCATCACATGTGTGACTACACCCGGACGAGATGTGAAATTTATAGTCTTGAAGTATTTTTCTCTGCCATTCACACTGTTTGAACCTTGTGGAGCTGTATTTATGATGAATTCAAAAATACATTTCAGGAAAAATAGCTCAAACAAGTATTTCAAAGCTATTTTGTATTATTTCCATGTTTTATTCACTCTCAGCCTTTATAACGGCTGCTCGATGAATGCACTCATCTTCTTCTTCGTTGCTCTCGCTGAAGTTCAGGTCGCTGCTCTTTCAGTGTTAAATCTTCCACGGCAAGGATTTCCAGCCACTTGTCGAATCGGGCACTGTTGTGTTTGCAGCCCGCTGTTATTTGCCTCAGAAATACTTTGCGATTCGCCAGCGTACAGTAAACAGAAGATGAATAAAATGAGCCCAAGTCGGTTGCCATGTTGCCTGGAAACCCAAAATGCATGATGACATCATGCTGAATGGCGTCTTTAGGATTTGTTTATGGCTTGTTGCTAGGGAACTGCAGATACCAAAACCGATAGAAAGAAAATTTATGACCAAAGTTAAATTGTAGGCACGCTTGTTATCCTCAGCGTGATCCCGTATGCGGCGAATTATAAACTCGCTTTGCTCGCAAGCGTAACGGTTGCTCACTCAAGAAGAATTATTCAACCAGAACATGGGCCCATCTCAAGTTAAGGAAGGATGCTTAGAGCCAGCCTCCACAATGTTTGTATTATGGAGAGTTAATGGTAAATGCATTAACTTTTCATGTATAGGTTGTACTTACAAGGGCGTGGATCATAATCAGGATGTGACATTGGTCTGCCATGCTTGTCTCTATATACAAAATAAATGAACATTGTTATTACTGAAAATCTTAAGAAGTGCTGAAACAATTAATTTTTTCAGTTGTACATAATAGCAACTGGGTAACAGGGCCGTGCATACCAAGGCTAAACCATACATTGTTTAATGTCAAAAAACCAGTGTGTACATTTATAAGGTATGCACACGGAGGCTTAAAGTTTTTTTACAGAGGCAGCTGCCTTGGTGCCTTCAAATATGCCTAAGAGGGTGGGATGGGGGCTGGCGCTTACAGCACAAAATGAAATAGTGGTACAAAATGAGATTAAGTTGAAAACTGTTCAAAATAAAGACAGTGACCAAAAAACGCACCAAAATCTCCAAAATAATGCAACCTACATGTACAGTGTCGGGAATGAAAGGATTATGGTAACCCTTTTAAGTCCCAAGAGTGAATTAAAAACATCAATTCTCTTCCAACAATTTAAAAAAATAATCAAGAAAAACAGGTCAGTGCTCTAGCAGACCCTGGCCATTCTTGGCACCCAACTTTTGCTATCAGGTGACATACAATTATGCTGAACACAGTAGATATTACACCATAAAGGTTCAGGCGCTGGACTCCCTTCAAGTTTCCTTAGAGCACAGCCTTGAGAAAGGTTTTGAAACTTAATAAAGAGTTGTAATAGAAAATACTTTGATCTTTTATTAAATTCTCTCATCTAATTCTTTAAGGAAATGTATTGAGATAAGTTTGGAGAATTTGTAAGTGGATACTGGGGCTTAAAGAGTTAAAACAATCTGTCCATTACTTCCTCTTCTCCTCCTTTAACCAATCCAATTTTTCATGAGTATATGTACCAACACCCTCTTCATTATTTGCATTTGAACTTGGGGTTGGAGACGAACTCATCTGGAATCTTGCCAGAGATTCTGCAGCTTTACTGGCCGAACTTGACACCTTGTTTGCTAATGAGCCAGACAGTAATGAAGGGGATGGGGTACTGAATACTGGTGCCTTGCTAGTGAGAGGTGTACAGGGTGTGGATGGCTTGTGATTCTTGGTCTTTTGCTGACGACCTGTAGATGTGCTGCCTCGTTTGCGCTTACGGGAGGGCTAGTGGTCAAAAAAGGAAACAAAAATTAGATTTTTGTATCTTGATGAAAAATTTCTTGGATATACATTTTGTGACGAAAAATAGCGATAAAAAGTTAGTCAGTCCCATCACCGATAGGAGACTTAAAAATAGTGTCCCCAATTAGTGCTTTAGTGCTAAATACATTGACACTCAAATAAAGTGCTTTTTTTTTCGGATGACAATATGGAGGTTTCTTAGTTACATGTCACTAAACTGCACCTTTTCATTGTCCTCTTCAATATCTTCTTCTGAATGGGTACCATCCTCTAACTCATTTTCGTCAACTCCACTACTACAACTTTCATCATCATCATCATCATCATCATTGGGTTTGTACTCATCTACAGAGTTCAAAGCAGACATTCTGATTGGTTTGTAGTTGGTTTAAAAATCAAAGTGAGATACCATGTGGCACGGCATTTTTGCGGGAGTTTATTTTTCCAGATTGGTGATTTTTTGTATTTTGCGGGAACCAATTCTGGGGATTAGGACAGATTGGTTTTTCTTGCTTGCTGGGAATTAATTTTTGCGACTTTCAGAAAGTACCCAGACAAATATTATTGATAAAATTTTTGATTTTATTGAGTATGTGCAATGAAAAGTTGTGATTGAACAGACGAGAATTCTTAGTACTGTATTTTTGTGTAGCAACCTTAGGTTAGAGAATATTTATTCTGGAGTAAATTTTTGTGGGAAAAATGTTGGCCGAAACTTATTTCTGTGGATTGCTGGAAAAATTGCAAAACTCGCAAAAATTAGAAGCAACAAAAATGTCACACCACAAAGTAGAATAAAATGAAATGAGACAATGGAGACAACAAAATAGGAAATCTAAGATAATTTTAGACTTTCCACTTTGTTTTGCAATTATTGCACAAAGGGGTGCTTTAAACTGCAATTAGGGAAATGATAACTGATGTTTGGCAAATAATAATGCATTCTGTGAAACATACATATGTAATTATGTTATTGTGGTTAAATGTAATTTAACTAAGTTAACCACCACGAGCTTAGCGGTCAAGTGGTCCACAAGCTTAGTGGTCAAGCGGTTCATAAGCTTAGCGGTCAAGCGGTTCACAAACTTAGCAGTCAAGTGGTTCACAAGCTTAGCAGTTAAGCGGTCCACAAGTTAAGCGGTCAAGCGGTCCACAAGCTTAGCGGTCAAGCGGCCCACGAGCTTAGCGGGCATCCAGCGGTCAATCCCATAAGTGCAGGCACACATGGTTTGTGGTAACTTTGTACACGGCTAGGATCTGCGAGTTCTTCTTCAAGTGTTTGTGCAGTGGTCTGTGGTCTGTGGTCTGTTTGCTTGTTTTTGCTTTTAAACATTAATGATCATATGATAATATTGGTCTGCCACATATTCAAGGAATCAAATGAATTGAGCATTAAAAACAATTCGATTTTTTACAGTGGTTTCAAAGTTACTGAACCTGAAATTTGCTCATAAATTGTTCAGATTTCACAGAATTGTACTATAAGAGGGCTGTGCCAAAGATTGTTGATCTAAATGAATAAATCACAGAATACACAACAGTTAAAATAACATAGCCATCTTGAATATAAAGACCTACCAGCTGAATCTCCCTCAGACCCAGATTCTATCACTCTTCTTTTCTTTCCTTTGTTGTGCTTTATTGCAGCTTTCCGTTTGGGACGCTTGTTGTTACGCTGAGTGTAATGAAATATGCAATAAAAGAATTTACTTAATATTCTGTGCATTCAGTTGGTATAATTCCCTGCAACTCACTGCCAGCCTAGCATGTCCTGGCCTTTATGCTTCTGGATATACTTCTGTTAATAAAGGCTAATCAATAACAAAACCAGTATGGTAAGAGGTGTTTAGATCTGTGTTTTCAGAGTCTGAACTTCAACTACACCTTGCCAGTGAAAAGGTCTTAATTTATTGTGATTTATTAATGGTTGTATTTTATTTCTGTGCTTTGAAACTAAATAAGCACCTTCCTTCCTGTCACTTCATCATCATCATAATCATTGTTCTTGTTTGCAATATCACTACTGCTTTTCCTCTTGTGACCCTGTGTTACTTTGCTGGGGCTCTCATCATCTGACTGCATAGTTTGATCACCATCTTCCTCTGAATCTTCCTCATCAGAAGGTAAACAATTGACAAGTTCTTTTCTCTCTTCTCTTGAAAGTAACAGAACTTCTTCAGCTTGTTGTACAGCCTTTTTAATTGTAGGATCCATAACTTGATTTTTAAATTGCTTCTCAAAAGTCTTGATTTGTCTGCAATGCAGTCATTGAAAAATGCAAATTGAAACAAGAATTTTACTGCTCTAATAAAACCTTTAGCCGATTTTTTTTGCATCAAGTTTACCTGCTTTCAGTCATTTTAAACCATCTCACATGGTTAGGTATTATTTGTATCCAGCCCTGAACTCAGTAAGCAATATACTGTACATTGGGATGAGGAAACTGAATGTGCCCTCCTTAATCAGGAACTTTTTATTGTTTTTCTATCCCTGAAGAGTTCCGTAAAACTGTATACCGTAGGTCTGCAGTACTTCAATAAGAGGAGTCAATATTCCTTCAAAATATTTCTCCCTTTTTCTGACTGGCTAAAATCCCACGCATAACATTTCATCAAAACCAGCCACTGACAACAAAATTTGGAAGAATTTGGCGATATCTGAATAATGACTTTCAGCGTGCAGCAAAATTGCCAGATTACTGAACAGTTAACTGAGAAGACCTGGGGATGAGGATGAGTTGTTTTGGTAGTGAGTACAAAATGATGGAATATTTTACTTCAAGAGGAAGAAATAGGTGAACTTTTGGCTTAAAACACAGCAAGAACAGCAAGAAGACAACTCAACGGACGACATCTGCTGTTTGGAGAATATTTGCTGAACTGAACAACCCTTTATCTTCTAAACTTGCCGATAAACATGCACTATCGAAGATGAACTTAACATCGACGGAGGAAAGCATGTTTTAGCTTCCTTTTAAACTAGGAATTATTTTTAATGAATAATACAACAATATTATTATTAAATTCGGCTTTCATATTATCTGAAGAATTATGGAGATCTCTGAGGGTGTTATCTGCCTCAGCCTACAGCCTTGGTGGATAACACCCTCTTCGATCTCCATAATACTTCAGATGATACTCAGCCTTATTCATTTTCTTAATAGACAGTGCCCACTGTCTGCATTTACAGATGTATACCAGGCAAGGGAGGGGGGCAGTCAAGGGAAGTGTGGCAAGACAATAACTGATGTACTGTCAAGGCTTTCAAGCCATGACCCTGTTTTAAGACAAAAATTGTTCATTTTGCTGCCCTTAATTTGAGACAATAGACCTTAATATGTGCCCCTTATTCATTTCGTTAGCCGTATTCA